GCCTTGGCAATAACTCTTTTGAAGGACCTGGAGGCGAAGTTATACTTCTTTTTGAGTGTGCAGGTGTTTACATCCCGAGTCACCGAAGCCGCAGCCCAGGCTTGATAACACTCCTGCTTACTGCGTAATGCAGTCTTACAGGAGCGACCAAACCAAGGCTGAGATCTGCCTCCGATGGGTACCACAGATGATGGAATAAATAATTCCATTCCCTGTAGCACTACATCAGTGACAGAGTCAGCAACAGCGCTGGGATCATCCGGCGAGAAGCAAACCCGCCCCCATGGGTAGGAAGCAAAGAAAGACCGCATTCCGTCCCAATCCGCCGACCTGTAATGCCAAACACGGCGGCAACCTGCAGAACGCAACCGCGAGGGGAGCGTGAGTGGCACCACACTCCGGATCAGACAATGGTCCGAAGAGCCAAGAGGGGCATCGACGGAAACCTGATATCCGTCCGGATGAGAGGTCAGCAGAAGGTCCAACAGGGAAGGTGTATGATCCTCAACATCTGGAATCCGCGTAGGCGATGTAACCAGTTGTGTCAGACCATATGCCAAGGCAAAGTCATAAACAGATCTCCCCGCATGATCGGTTAAACGTGAACCGAGCCATTCGGCGTGGTGGGCGTTAAAATCGCCAAGGATCACGATCTCTGCGGATGGGACCTGTTGTAGCAAGGAATCTGTAGCCATTTGGACGTGATCGATGAGTCGGTCTGTTTCGGCATTACCGCTATGGGACCTATAGAGGCACACGTAGACGCGCGGATGGTCGTCGCTGTCTACGCGTAGCCAAAGGATGAACAGGTCCGAACCTTCAAGACTGCCGAGGCGTCGAGAACAGATGTCCTCTCTGACATACACGCAAACTCCAGCCCGAGGCACAAAGGAGTGCTCCAATTTGTACCCCGGGTAGGAGAGATACGAAGTATCAGCCGGAGAGGACACCTGCGTCTCGGTCAGAAAGAGCAAGGCCGGCTTCGCCGTCTCAAGATGGTAGTGGACGGCGTTTAGGTTCGAGTGAAGTCCCCTGATGTTGCAGAAATTCACGGATAGCGTGGCAGGGGTCGCCTTGGTCTTGTTGCTCAGTTTGCCCCGAGCAGTTATTGTGTTGAGAGGAATTTTGCCCCCCCCCAGAATACGCGGGGCAGCCTGAGCACCCACGCTCAGGAGTGGAATAGCATGGTCGTGGATGCTCAGCGAGGGATTCTCCAGGGGTACTGGTACCCTCCTGGGGTAGTTTATGACGTAATTCCGCTACCATGTTGATGGGTGGGGGGGGGGGGGGGGGAATTGGGCATCCGGTCACCTGCACTCACCAGATGAAAAGCGGAAGCAGAGCTTCCACTTCACGCCGGTATTCTGTGAGGTCGTGGTACTAACCCGGCTCGACCCGGCCCATACGTGCAACAGCAAAAGCTGCTGCAAGGCTCTACCACCGTGAAATATTTGCAAAGTAACCCTACATAAAAACATCGGACATAAAACACCGTTTTTCAAGTAAACTTTGAATGGTACAGACACAGATCGAACGACACTAAAAGTAATTAAGTCCGAAATGAGTTTACCAAGCCATTTACCACTAATTAAAAACGTTTGAAAATGTGTAGGAAAACAGAAATAATAACAATGTTGTGCAATTTCTGCCGAGAGAGTTTTTTATTAGTCAAAACGCGCTTGAGATTGAATAGAAAGGCGAAAAAATAGCTACGCGTCGGCATTGTCCTATGGAGAACAAAGGGCTACGTAGAAGCAACGGCTTATGTATGATTTACACCTTACGAATTATGTAAGGGTACTCACACTATCGTACTATCGTAGTGAGAGCCATGGTAACTTAGAAGTGATCGTTTATGGAAGACACTCACTCACTATTTGGCTATGAATTCCACTGTAAGTGTTTTTTATAAAAAAAATTTAGAATAATGGTGACAAACAAACACACAGTCTACATGTGTTGTAAGTGGATAGTGTGGCGCATAGACGTCTACATCTATCCTCGGTTAGTAATCAAAATGCAGATGCGTTGTCACCCCTGAGGACTAAGATAGAATATATCATTTCCAGTGAAAGGGGTCTCCGGGTTTCTGCACTCAGAACGAAATGAAACACAGCAGCAATAAGCTACTATTTTACGTTGGTATTTTGTTAGAGCGTGGTTTTTTCCGGGCCGAGCCAAACCGTTCGTGCTAGAACCACAACAAAGCTATAGCATGGAAAAAAATGCTTGGAGGTGAAAGAAAAAAATTGAATGGAAAAGTGCGTGTCTGAGAAAAAAGATTTTCCAGCACATGTGAAGGGTGCCACGAGAAACTGGTATAACGCAGTGGACTAAATGCTCCTTAACCCACTCAGAAATAAGACCTGGGACCAGAAGCGTATCTAAACTTCAATAATATGATAAGTGAAAGGAATCAACATGGAAAAGAAATAAATTACCGTTTAATGGCGGTGTACCTCAGAATATCCACTACCCCATATCATCCCGTGGGTGTTGTAAGAGGCGACAGAGGGAAACCAATCAGGAGATTGACATCAGATGGATCATTCGTGAATTTCACGTGGTCAAATAGTATAATATAAAATTATAATTTAAAATTTTATTATAGAAGTAGTCAATAGTCGCGTAATATTTTTTTAACGTAGTAGAGCAATGCTGCAGCTTTCTTATTTGTATAGTTGTAGCACGAATGGGTCGGCTCGACCGGGGAAGGACCACGCTCTCACAGAGTTCCAGCGTAAAATAGCAGCTTAATGCTGCTATGTTTCGTATGGTGAGTGTAGAGAAGCGGAGACCCTTTTTACTGGAAACGAGGCATTCCATCTTAGTCCTCAACAACGCATCTGCATCTTTATTCGTAATCGAGGATAGATATAGATGTCTATGTGCCACAGCAACCACTTACCATCAGGTGGACTGTGTGCTCGCTTGTCACCTTTATTCTATAAAAAAAGCCAAATCTGGGTAGTCTAATGTAATATCATTACACGGCGGCGTGGGAGAATCCAACACTCCACATCACCCCTTGGGTTTTGTAAGAGGCGATAGTTGGAAATCAAATAGGAGACAGGTAGTATAATCTTCCAGATGACAACTCAAATTAATAAAAACTACGGCAGATAACCAAGCCTGGTAACTTGATAAGCTGCAATGGTAAGTCATAGAATTATAGAACATCTCATACATCACTCATATATGAACATAGCCCTCCCCCATAGATTACGTCATATTTTTCCATAATTGTCGCACCTAGTAGGCGACTTGGCAACCGCAGTTTTTTTTATTTTTTTTTAGTTGTTATTAAGATGCTACTGCCCATTTACTGGTTTGTTTCACACTATCACCTTTTACGACTCCCACAGGTCTAAGATTTGTTGTATTATAATTGAGTTTGATTCATCTTGTGTGACCATAACATTTGTAGGTAAAACTAAGTTCAGATGATTTCCGATTAAGATTCATAAAGTTAGTACATTATTATTGGTATGATGCTCATGATCATGCGCCATTTGCTACTCTGATGCTGACGGTAAATTCTCTGTCTGAAGTGGCATCTCAAACAAGATTGCGTTTCTAGTGTTACATTTATCACTTCAATATACAGTGTGTTTTAATCGTGTGGCATGCAATGCGGCGATGTGAATGCGCTGTCTCTCTTATGTAAGTGGTATAGTGATGTCGCGCGAAACCGTGCGAACGTCTGTAGGTAGCCTAAAGCGCTTATAAATTCTCGTTTCCATATAAATTAACATTTGTTCTAAAAGTGTCAAGGGCAGCTTCCACTTTACATTGTTTCGTAACTTTCATATTTCAAATATTTTGCCGTTTCATTGTAATAAATCACAATAGTTGCTGGATGAAACTAAGCAGATTGTTATGTTTTTAATTTGTTAAAATAATAGCTAGTCTCTTGATTACTTTGATAATTTCATAACTACACGCAACTGAATTTTTATTAAAATTGAATGAGATTTTGAAGTGTGAAATTAATTAAAATCTGGTAATCAAATATTTCTATATTAGGAAAGGCTAATTGACGGTTCAAATTTTAGGTCTGGTTTCAAGAAAAAGTTTGATCATTATAAAAAAAAAACAAAATTATACTCATATGCTTGTTACTAAGAGGGGCAGGCCAAGTCTACAGACTTCCTTTTGCTGCGATCCTGACACATCTTTCTCACTTCTCTCATATCCATATACCTACTCATAGATTCTGATAGGTTAATTATACTCTTAATTAGGACTATCTTCAATATATTGCAAATTTGGTCGATAGACTTTCAACTACGGCACCCATTACCAACTCTACCACTCAATTCAGTAGCATAAATTTGCTATGTCACTTTTCTCGACCTTCACCTTCACCGAAGCATTGCTTTCTTGATCTAGACACATCTTTTATCTCACAATTTCTCAACCTATCATTCAAGGTCAGCCCTAACATTCTTCTTATTGACCGCATTTCTACAGCATTAATTTTACTTTTATTCTTCTGCAACACCCAACATTCATTACCATACATTAATGTAGGAACTAACGCAGCATCGTGAATTGCCACACGTGCATTTTTGACACATTCTGTCTTTCCATAATAGAGTAAAGAGCTCTATTTACTACATGTTTTGCATTCATGCTTCTTTTTTTATCCTCGTCATGTCTACTATCCGTGCTAAACACACATCCTTAATACACAAGCTCATCGACTTACTCAACTAACTCCATTTCTACTCTTATTTCAGATCTCGTTTTCTTTTTATCATTAATTTAATGTAAAAATCATCAAATTAATTCAGATATTTCAATTTATTGATTAGACCTAGTGATTATCTTTTTGTGTGTCTTGTCTTTACGAGCTTTGAACTTTGAAGAATTATTTTCATCAAACATTTGCAGTTGGACAAATATAATTAATATTATTTAAGTGCTTAAAAATATAAAAGTATATATACGAGTATATGAAAGTATATATATGAAAGAATAAATATGAAAATACTTACCAATAGCGAGCAAAGTTTTCAACTTGGGATTTGCTTTTTTCAGTTCATTGATTCTATCGTAAAGGCCGGTCTTCCCATCCTTCGTTTCATCGTTGGACTCGAAGGAGCTGAGCTTGCCTTTCTTTAGCCATCCGAAAGCAAAGATGATATGGGTGCAGAGGTCAGGTTGAATATCTTCAGGTAAGAATTTTCCGATTTTCGTGCGGTACTGCGACCAATTCGTGTAATAACAGACGATCTAAAACAAAATCAGTTCCATAGAAAGGTATTCAAATAACAAATTCAGTGCAAAATCTATATAATTTAATATTTCTATATGAATAATATTCTTTTAGTCCAAAACTATTAATCGTCAGCCATTTACGAAATAGTTGAGGGAGTATAATATATTGTTCATGTTGGGGTGTTGGGGAAATATATCGAGCTTGTATTCTGCAGATATACAATTGAGGCTTTGACAAAAACCCACCCAGATTCCACAAACAACAGTATTTCAAGTTAGAGGATGTCGAATCTATGAGGTCTTGATGGTATCAAAATACGTGATATAATTTCTCCCTCACTCTTCCACCATCAGACAAATAAACGCCCAGTCAAACTCTAGCTCTTTTTCTTTCAATGTAAGTGACTTTGAGGCAAGAGTGAATAGGCTTTTATTAAGCTAAGTTACTGTACTTTAACATCTTTGGCTGCTACAACGCCAACCATAAGATAAACATACTTTGACTTTAAATTCAAATACAATATTTTAGGCATATCGCTCACACTTTGTCATGCATTTTATGATCATAGTAATTAAAAAAAGTTACAGTTACAGCCTATATACGTCCCACTGCTGAGCACAGGCCTCCTCTCATTTCTGAGGAGGTTTTAGGGTAAGGAAATGTCCGCCGCGCTGCCCCAATGTGTGTTGGCGAACTTCACATTTCTTCGAAATATTTTTTTTTCTTATTTCTCAGAGATGCAGGTTTCCTCACGATGTTTTCCTTCACCGCCGACCACGTGGTAAATCTTAAAATTGCAATTAACAATTTCACTGGTGTCGGTGGAAATCGAACCCGGGTTGCTCGCGTACTGTGAAACTTACAGCGAGCGCTAACCATCTGAGCTACAACGGCTCTTGAAATGATCGCATTATTATTAAGTATTCAAATCACAAAACTGTTTCATTCATTTATTTAATCTAAAATGGCTTTATAATATTAAAATACTAAAGAATCAAAATTAGATTAACTTATATAGATTTTTATGGACATTGACATAGTAAGGTTCTTATTTGTTACACGATAATTATATGCAAAACTCTACTACAAAATGTATTATACGTTAATTAAAATTTCTAAGCACTGAAGCTTGACTTCCTGACTACATAGCTTTAATAGCAACAACTTAAGTGGTATAGGAAATTATGCAGCTGTTCCATAGAGGATAAGTTAATACTCTGAAGGTAAGCAACTTTATAGTTATTGCATTCGAAAAGCTCACTTAATATCCGCGTTTAATACCGTGTTACCAAAATAAAGAATGCCATTTAAAAAATAACTAAAAGCATTTAATACGTCGATATAAGCTTGAAATTTGCACGATTCATTGCATTGGAAGGTAAAACTGAGTCCGGTATCAGGGTGTACGCAAGGTTAAACTGAAAGTCCGTTGTTATTTCCTGACGCACCACTTAGGGGAAAATACAGCCTCTCTAATACCTGCCACGTATTCACTGGCAAATAGTAATTACATATCCAATTACGACATTGGAAATGCTTATTTCCTAAACCAGTTTTGTATCTTGATTTCCCATATATTTACAAGCAGTTAACTTTTTTTTTCAAAAATATATAGCATTTAAAATAAACTAGATGAAAATTAAACACGATGACGATGAACAGCGGCATCAAAGGTACATGATAAATAGGACAAATCCATGTTAATATGGCAAATGCCCATGTTCATCAACGGACTAATACAGTCTAGTGAAGAAAAGAAAAAATAGCAAGCAGTGCTATCAAAACTAAACAGTAATTGCACTAATGAAATTATATTTAACCATTGTGGTAGGAATGGGTCACAACGATACTCAAAAGGCAAATAGAAAGTCCATCATCATCATCATCACCATTACAGCCCTTCACAAGTCCACTGCTGGACATTGGCTTCCAAGGAATGCCACAAAGCAAGGTTCTGAGTAACTTGCATCTATCGACTTCGTCACTCCATCTAGCTGGGGGCCACCCTATACTTCGCTTACCGGTACGAGGCTGCCACTCTGAAACCTTTCTTTCCATCCGTTGTCACTTCTTCGAGCTATATGGCCAGCCCATTGTCACTTCAGCTTACTGATCCCTTTAGCTATTTCGGTTATCACGCAGAGAAACCCCTAGCATAGTCATCTCATTAGCTCGCTGAGCGACCTTAAGCTTTCTCATACGGCCAGCAGTGAAGGACCACGACTCAGTTCCATAGGTCATCACTGGCAACACGCACTGGTTGTATAGTCTCGTTTTCAAATTTTGAAGTATACCTGACGAGAAGATGTGCCGTAATTTCCCGAACGCTGCCCATCCAAGTTGAATCCGTCGTTGAAGAGAAGAACTATGTCTCAGAACCATAAGTCATCACTGGCAACACACACTGGTTGTACAATCTTATACAATCTGTCAAATTCAAACTTATGACTTTTGAATAAAAAATTATCCGTATAGACTCCTTTCAACTTGATTTTTTAAATCACAATCACAATAATTAAATAAAACAATTATAGAATTACCTTGTAGCCATCTTTATTCTTGTGGTCATCAGTGCTGACAGAATTATCTAAAGCCGCGGTCGATTTTCGACTAGCCACGGTGGGACGTCCACGGATCTTGGGTCTGTTCACGCTCGCAGCTATAATTTGATCAGTAGACCTCGATACGCTGGAGGATACTGATGTGGAAATTTTGCTAGGCTTGCGAAGTCTTCTGCGAACGCCTGAAAAATAACAATATATTAATTATTTGCAACGACCGTGTAGTGGCGGTGTAAGAATATCCAATACCCCATATCGTCTCGTGGGAGTCGTAAGAACGAAACAGGAGGTGGGCAGCAGCATTTTATTGATAACAAATAAAAATTATAATAAACTAAAAATTGCAAGCGTGGCAACAACGAATCAATCCTCCTTAAGAGGCAATCTATAGAGGAGTTTTATTTTCTGCAGTGGATTTATATAGGCTACATAAATCCACTGCAGAAAATAAAATATATATATATTTAAATGTCTAAAAATTTCGTAAATTTTGATATGTATAATAATCTATTTTAAGTCACATTAGATTTTAACTATTTATTACAAAATTATTATTAAGCCATATAATGGCGGTATAGGAATAACTACTATCCCATATCGCCCATAAGTGTCGTTTAAGGCAACGTAAAGAAACTGAAGACTAATAAACATGTTGGGTGTAAATCGTTAGCTAAATTAACAACATTAAACCATTTCTTTATAGGATCGAGTGACAAACGATCACATAGTCCACCTGATGGTAAATGGTTGCTGTGGCCCATAGACATCTACATCTATCCTCGTTTGCGAATCAAAATGCAGAGGCGTTGTCACTCGTGAGGACTAAGATAGAATGCCTCTTATCCAGTAAAAAGGGTCTCCGGTTCTCTACACTCAACATACAACACACAGCAGTGTTAAGCTGCTATTTTACGCTGGTATTCTGTGAGGTCGTGGTCCTTCCCCGGTCGAGCCGACGCATTCGTGCTACAACTATACTACTAATATAGCTGCAGCATGGTTATACCACGTATAGAAGTAACCTTAAATTAAGTAACTGTAAATTATAGTTCAATAATTATGGTGACTGACCCCAGAAATAGTTAAGTAATAGAAATAGAATAGAAATAAGACATAGTTAAGTAAAGAAGTAGGAACAAAATTACTATTTTTGAGGTGAAGTCTAAATTTCAAGTTCAGTATAAAACCGTTAGTAACTGTTGGCTTGAACAGCCCACACAGCCCACCTAATGGTAAGTGTGTGCTGATGTGGTGTAGGAATATCTACTATCCCATATCGCCCATAAGTGTCGTTTAAGGTAACGTAAAGAAACTGAAGACTAATAAACATGTTGTGTGTAAATCGTTAGCTAAATTAACAACCAGAAACCATTTTTTTTATAGGAATAGAGTGACAAACGAGCACACAGTCCACCTGATGGTAAGTGGTTGCTGCGGCCCATAGACATCTACATTTGTCCTCAACAAAGAATCAAAATGCAGATGCGTCGTCACCCGTGAGGACTAAGATGGAATGGCTCTTTTCCAGTAAAAAGGGTCTCCGGTTCTCTACACTCACCATACGAAACACAGCAGTGTTAAACTGCTATTTTACGCTGGTATTCTGTGAGGTCGTGGTCCTTCCCCGGTCGAGCCGACCCATTTGTGCTACAACTACTAATATAGCTGCAGCATGACTATACCACGTATAGAAGTAACCTTAAATTAAGTAACTGTAAATTATAGTTCAATAATTATGGTGACTGACCCCAGAAATAGTTAAGTAATAGAAATAGAATAGAAATAAATAAGTAGGAACAAAATTACTATTTTTGAGGTGAAGTCTAAATTTCAAGTTCAGTATAAAACCGTTAGTAACTGTTGGCGTGAACAAGAAAAGAGTTGGGAACTGAACGGTTGTCAAGGTGTGTGCGCAAATATAAAAGTGTTCAGGTCTAATAGCTTTTGAGTTTTGGGTGTTCATATGTTGTCGGTGCGTCGCCTTTATCTTTCCGAACTTGGCAGAAACACTGCCGAGGGTCTAGATCAATAGTGTTATAACATTTAATAGTATAGCTATAAATCTTGCTTACCTTATTGAACATGGGATTTATTTTATAAAAATATACTGAACAATGCTTAAAATCATTTCTTCGAAAATTTTCACCGTTTGCACAAAACAATGTGCAATATGATAAATTTAATAAGTTGACTACAAATTTTACAGAGTTTTAAATATTTTTTTTTTACGAAATAGAATTGAACTTACTTGTCGAATCTGAAGTGGGAGCGAGGATAGCAACAATCAACAGGATCGTGAACATCCATTGTATCAATCTTGGCGGCCACTGAAACAATTAAACCACCATGTTACTTTGTACTGTAAGAAAAGCATCAGAATTTATTTTAATATAGGTACACTTCTTAGTTTAGTCAAGTAGATATTTATTTATTTATTTAATCTTGTTTGTTGACACCTTAATAATAAAGGTAACAAAGGGCGGACTTAATGCCTATATGGGTATCGTCTAATTTAAAACTTCACGCAACTCCCTTGTATTTTTGGAAAATTGTGCTACATTTACTGTACATTTTATGGTACTTAACCATAAAATGTAAATCAGCGCGCACTTTATATTGTGTTTAAGTAGATTTTATTATTTTTGTTATAAATGTAACGATAAAAGTGATAAATATTGGGGGTGTATCCGATATAGATACCAATATTGGGTTTGCCGACATACCGGCATATCGATATTTTTATGACCGATAAAACGCTTTCAAATTCAAGGTCTCCGAAAATATAAAGAGATGCATATCCGCCTGTTTCTAGTGAAACGACGATTTAAGCCCAAAAATAAAAAAAAATGTCGCAGAAGTATTATAGTTTCCAAACGAGTTCTGTCGCATCTGAGAAACAATTTTCCACTGCAGGTCTCATTCAAACAGACTTGCGAAATCGCCTTCCTCCGGAAATTTTGTTAATAAGTTTTAATTTCAATTACGAACACTATCAACCTTAATTATTAATAATTTTTATAACTTATTATCTCATTCTATGTCTGTATTTTTTATATCAATTAATACCGGCTGGTTAGATACGTGTAATGTTCTATAACTAGAAAAATGTTGTTTAGTTTTCAAAGCGATATTTTCATTGCTCGAAATTGGACGCGCTAACCTTTGTAGATTCGCCTTGGTTTTCTAATTATTCCATTCACTTGTAATACACTCTTAATTAAAACGTTGTCGTGAACAAGACAAAAATATTCAAAATTTAAAGAAAACTTTGACGAAAATTAAAATTCATTGTTATTTAGCCACTTTACATTATAAATAGTTAATAATTTATTACATATTAAAAGTACCAATACCTATTAATGTTACTTATATACATACGGATACATAAATTAATAAAAGCTTATAAGAACATTACTCAAAACTTAATATCATGAGTACAATCAGTGCGCGTTTTTTTTTAAATTCAATAAGGGTGACAAACGAGCACACATCCCACCTGATTGCAAGTGGATGCTGTGGCCCATAGATATCGTACTTTATCCTCGATTAAGAATCAAAAGTTAGATGATTTTTGATTCTTAATCATAAATAAAGCTTTTGCCCTGAGGTCTGAGATGGAATGCCTCGTTTCCGGTAAAAAATGGTATCCGGCGAGTTGTCAATTAATAATTATATTGGCATCGGTGTGGATGAAATTCAATTTTCTAGAAAACAATAAAATTTAAAGCAAATGCTGAGCTGCTACGGCCCATAATTGTACAGTCTATTATTATAACATTTTTTATAGGATAGGGCGACAAACGATGTGTGCCCGTTTGTTGCCCTATCCTATAAAAATGTCCAGCTAATGGTAAGTGGCTGCTGTGACCCATAGATATCCACATCTATTCTCAATAAAGAATCAAAATGCAGATGCGTTGTCACCCGTGAGCACTAAAATGGAATGCCTCATTTCCAGTAAAAAGGGTCACCGGTTCTCTGCACTCACCATACGAAACACAACATTATTAAGCTGCTATTTTACGCTGGTATTTTGTGAGAGCGTGTTCCTTCCCCGGTCGAGCCACCCATTCGTGCTACAACTATACTATTAATATAGCTGCCGCATGGCTCTACCACGTACAAAATCATTCGAGAAGATATTCAAATAGCACCTATGTTAATTTTACCGCATGATGCCAGCATAAGTGAATCCATCATCCTTAGTCCAGTTCATCAGTCCTTTTTTTTATAGTATAGGGTGACAAACGAGCACACAGCCAACCTAATGGTAAGTAGTTGCTGTGACTCATAGACATCTAGATTTATCCTGGTTTGCAGATGCGTTGCCACCCGTAAGGGCTAAGATGGAATGCCTCGTTTCCAGTAAAAAGGGTCTCCGGTTCTCTACACTCACCATACGAAAAACTGCAGCGTTAGGCTGCTATTTGACACTGGTATTCTGTGAGAGCGTGGTCCTCCCCCAGTCAAGCCTACCCATTCGTGCTACAACTATACTACTAATATAGTTGCAGCATGGCTCTACCACGTATGCCAAAGATTCTTTAACTATTCCCAATTTGATTTCTTTATCATCATCATTATCATTACAGCCGGCCACAAGTCCACTGCTGCACATATCCTGAGCCACCTGCATCCATCGACTTCCTTCATATCTTGGCAGGTCGTCACTCCATCTAGTGGGAGCCGCCTTACACTTCGCTTACCAGTATGAGGTGTTGCCACTTGAAAACCTTTCTTTCCCATCGGTTGTTGGTTCTTCGAGCTAAATTGCCGACCCATTGCCGTTTAAGCTTACTATTCCATTGGACTATGTCGGTTACTCTCGTTCTACTGCGGATATTCTAATTTCATAGTCACTTCTTACGATCTTCAAACTTACTTTGTATAATTTAAAATTAAAAAATTTGTACTGCCGACTTCAATTTAAGTTATAAAAATAACTCAAAAACTATTGGTCTGACCTTGATCAAATTCATATGAGGCCACACAAGAAGTACCAGCTTTCAAATAAAAATAGGAATCATCGAAATCGGCTCACCCAGTAAAAAGTTATGAGGTAACACACATAAAAAAAAACATGCGGTGGAATTGAGTATCGTCTCCTTTTTGGAAGTCGGCAGAAAATGACACGTCTTTGTTTAAAATATAGTAAGGCATTTAACCTGGATTTATTTTGCATTATACTTGATCGTTTTCGCACATTAAGTTTAAAGTTTAAGTATATAAATATTACGTCTTCCACGTCCTCGGAAAACGACGAAAATGCCGTTCACAGCCCCAACGTGTGCTCATGAATAATTTAGAAACATCTGACACGTCGCGTAATATATTTGCTTAAGTTGGAGCGATGTAGACTAAACTAGTTAGTTTATCCTTGTAACAAAAGTAACATTTATATAAATTATTATAATAATTAATTTATTATAGTGTTAATTATTATTAAGTGGTAATTTATTATTATAATGTTTTAAAAAATCTTTAAACCATTATATTTACGTTTATAAATATATTTTTTACTATATAAAAACAAAAGTATAAAACATCATCAAATTAATTTAAATCATGCTTCTGATTTTTCAAAACCCAAAGTTACTGTAAAAGTCCTTAGTTTTTTTTCTGGTAGTTGAAACTTAGTGATGTATTGTAAGAAGAAGAAAAAAATCTTTATATTAAATACAGTTTCCGACTCTAAAGACCTCAAAACTCAAAATTTCATATCAAAACATTGGTTCCAGTACAAAAGTATCACAATAAAATGTTAATAAAACCATCAAATACTTCAACTCCGTGATACTCAATGATATCAATATAAGTACTTAAAAAAGCTATCAAAATAATTTTCAACGCATTCCATAGCTTCTGAAGTCGATGCTAACACAAAGTGTATCAAAGAGTTAAAGCCCCAGATATCTCATCATCATCATCAACATCATTACAGCCCTTAACAAGTCCACCGGTGAATATAGGCCTCCCCTAAAGATTGCCACAAAGCACGGTCCTGAGCCACCTGTATCCATCGACGTCCCGCATCTCTTACTAGGTCGTCAGTCCATCAAACCCTAACATCATAAGCTGTTAAATTGTATATAATATATTTTTTAAAGTTTGTTGGATCCGGTTTATACTTTTTTTTAGAGTGGAGTAAACAATAACACAAACTCAACGAGTTTTTAATGTAAGTACGAGTACTTACATTAAAAATTACAATTTTTTTATAGAGTATGGATAAGAAACGAGCACACAGCCCACCTAATGGTAAGTGGATGCTGTAGCCCATAGATATCTACATTCATCTCCGATTAAGAATAAAAATGAAGATGCGTTGTAACCCTTAAGGACATAGATAGAATGCCTCGTTTCCAGAAGAAAGGTTCTCCAGTTTTCTACACTCACCATACGAAACACAGCAACATTGAGTTGCTATTTTACGCTGGTATTCTGTGAGAGCGTGATAGGACACCCTCCCTCCCCCCGTTCGAGCCGACACATTCGTGCTACAACCAAAATATAGCTGCAGCGTGGCTCTACTACATTCTCTATTAGAGCATCCTCTATTTTTTCACTCTTAACGGTGTGCTACAAAATTGGTACAGATATCGCGTAAGATACAAAAATGCAGTGGAGTTAAAAACCTTCTTCTCTTTAAAGTCGGTGAAAGTTGGGATTTTTCACGCAATTTTCCATCTCAACGTAATACTCTGTACTTTGATCCAGAGTTAAAATTTAAAATTGCATTTCAGAATGTAACAGTAAGGTGAAACTTTTTCGAAATAACGAGTAGAACTCAAAAAAAGAAAAACAACACGCTGTGAGTTTAACGAACTCTATTTTCCGGCAGTCAGAGATTAAGGGATATCTTTCTTATTTTCATAAAGTAGTGTGTGAATTCATATATGAACTTTTAATAAATTATATATTTAATTTAATATCAATGACTATGTTTCAATATAATTATAAATATTAAAAAAAATAAAATCAATGACTATGTTTCAATATAATTACTTAATCAATGCAATTTAAGCAAAATTATATCTAGAAATTATAGTTGGAGAAAAAGTACTTTTGTACTTTAAACACCTTTTCCCGATACTGGCCTGGATGTTTTACACCTACGTAAATGAAATATTTTATTTTATTTTATATTATTAGGGATAACAACAGCCTTCATTCTGTGATACATAATTCTTATACAATATGTCTTTACATAGGGCCAATAACAGTCATCCACTTTTTACAATTTAGCATGAATCAGAAGTAAGAAAAGAAAACTAACAAAAACTTTGATAAAAAAAACAATACTAAGTTTGTCATG